TGGCACTATATCACAATAGCAAAGACTTGGAATCAACCCAAATGTCCATCAGTGACAGACTGGATTAAGGGAAAATGTGGCACATATACACCATGGAATACTAATGCAGCCATTAAAAGGATGAGTTTGTGTCCTTTTGGTAGGGACATGGATGCAGCTTGGAAACCATCATTCTCCAGGCAAAACTATCACAAAGAACAGAACCAAACCACCGCATGTTCTCACTCATAGTGGGAACTGAACAATAGATCACTTGACTCGGGAAGTGGAACATCACACACCCAGGGCCTATCACGGGGAGCGGGGAGAGGTGGAGGGATTTGCATTGGGAGTTTATACCTGATGTAAATGACGAGTGATGGGGTGCGACGAGTTGATGGGTGCAGCACACCAACATGGCACAAGTATAACATATGTAACAAACCTGCACGTTATGCACATGGACCCTAGAACTTAAAGTATAATAAAAATTAATAATAAAAATAAAAATCTACATCACATTTAATCTTCATCAGTAATTTCATAAAGTGCATGCTGTTAGTGCTATTTATTTTGTTTTGTGTATTACAGAACTATCTTACTGCCTAAGTCACTGCCCGGATTCCAAAGTAAATGAAATGCATAAATAGAATTAGCACATCTCAAAAAAAAAAAAAAAAAAAAAGAATTTAGTGAGTGGGCACAGTGGCTATGCCTGTATCCAGCACTTTGGGAGGCCGAGGGCGGGGCAGGTCACCTGAGGTCAGGAGTTCGAGGACCAGCCTGGCCAACATGGTGAAACCCATCTCTACTAAAAATACAAAAATTAGCTGGGGTGGTGGCTTTTTCTCAGGTTTATCAAAGATCAGATGGCTGTAGATGTGTGGTATTATTTCTGAGGACTCTGTTCTGTTCCATTGGTCTTTATCTCTGTTTTGGTACCAGTACCATGCTGTTTTGGTTACTGTAGCCTTGTAGTATAGTTTGAAGTCAGGTAGCGCACTCACTAAATTCTTAAGAGGAGTTAACTCTGATGAGGTTTTTGGTGAGGTTTATTTCCCACTTGATAGTAAAATACTGTCTGAATGTTTCCACTGTCAGGTATAATATTTCTGAAACATTTAAAAATAAGTATATTTACATTCAAGAGCACGATGAGAGGAATTCCCAAGGGAAATATACTTTTCTCACTTCTTCAGGAAACCCTTAGTGTTGGAGGACAGGTGGAATGCAGGAAAGGATGAATGTTCAGAATGCCAGGACCTGGGATCTTTGGGGGTCATAGACAAATGTGAGATGCTCATGGGGTAGATGGAGGGGTGGAAATGGTGGTGGTAATGCTCTCAAAATGTTTTGTGATGTGTTCAGATCCAGGGAAAAGTTCATTCAGACTATTGTGATCAGAGATGATTAAATGTGAAGAACTGCGGATAGAAAGCCTTGTCCCAGTCCTTTACGGTACAGGTGGACACAAGCCCAACGATAGTAAGGAACTTTCTAAGATCACAGAGCAGTGGATGAGTAGGAATGATGTGATTACAACCTGTGTCCCTGATTTTCATTCACAAGAACTTTGCCCTTAAGGGAAGCTCAAGTTCTTTAACCTTAAAGTGTCTTGACAACTGAGAGCATCAGGAAAGAGACATACTTCTCTCTTCCCATTCTCTCATTGCGCCATCTCCTTCATTACTTCCATCCTTCCTTCTCACCACTGTTGCTCATCATCCTGTCCCATCCCTGTCAATATACTCATTTCATCTTCATTGCTCTGCTCCAATTCTTTCCTACCTCCCACTCTCCTATATTTTCTTCACATCCTTATCTCAGCCCATCCTTCCAGTCAGCCCCAAGAGGAAATAACAGAGAAGCCAAGGTTCAGGTGCACCCATGTACAGTTTTAGGGATGACACAGCAAAAGGACAGTAGAGTTGCTAAGACATGGTAAACAGTGTTCCCAGGAAGGCTGGAGAGAATCAGGAATTAGTGGGCTGAAGCCTGGATAGACATCAAGATGAGGAAGTGCTCTGGGTTGCAGTGCTATTGATGTGTTAATAATATAAAGTTAGAAAGAGGTATCACTCCCAGGGACTGCATTTGTGGATGTGTATTTTCAGGCTAGAAGGTTTGGGATAGAAAAGTAAGACTTCGGAGGAGAATGTTGTATTGGGTAGTCTACAACAAAATTCCAAGGGCCTGATTGGAACATAAATGCTTACTCTTTCAAAAAATATCATATGTGTCAGGAAGATGACTTATCAGATAAGAGAAAGATACCACAGGGGATGGAAATAAAACATTCCTTTTTTGATCTTAAGGTATATCATGTACGTATGAACACAGTTTTTATTTAGTAGCTCTTTCCTTCTCTAGACCCCACCTGTTGCCTGATCATCCTATGGGATTCTCGTGTGGTACTAAAGAGAGGGAACTGATTTTATGGGAGGCGAAAGGTGAACAGCAGAATGAAATGATTCCTGGCACTGGGCCCATGGTTCAAAATACCTTTCCATACTCTGATCTGGAGGGAGTCTCACATCCCTCTGGAAGGAAACTTTGCAGTGATATTCTTGGTTACCTAGGCTGGGGTTAAGTGACCCTTTCCCGTAGGACATTGCTGCCCAGGCATAAAGTGCTGCCAAGGTTTCAACTCTACTGAGAAAGTGGGCACAGCCCAAAACAAGTCAGCAACTTGCCGAAGAGGCTTGGTTGGCAGAAGCTAACTTCATGTTTTCCTGTCTTACTAGCTTTTTTCTATAAAGTGTATCAGCATGTGGTATACTATATATGATGCTTATTGATTTATTTAGCCTACCTTTATAGCATGTGATTTGCTTGAGTGCAGAGACTTTTGTCCATTTTGCTCCCCAGTGCCCTAGAAGATTGGATCATAGAAGTAATTTAATAAATATTTGTTGAATGAATAAATGAATGAATTATATAGGGTTTCCTTGTAGGCCAAACACATAACACCACTCCTCAGGCATCAAGAGATAGAAATAATGGTTATAAGCAAGGTTCGTTGGTTACTGTCCTCTTGGGAAATTTTCCTCAGTCCAGAAAAGGCAGGAAAGGAGGTCATCTCTCAGGTCAGTGATCGCTTCCCCACAAGTAGCTGACACAGAGCGCCCTGAACATCAGTATTTCTGAGGCTGTAGATAAGTGGGTTCAGCATGGGGTTGATCACAGTCATGAAAACTCCAACCCCCTTATCCTTGTCTGAAGATTCCACTGAACCCAGCCTCATGTAGCTGAAGACACCTGTCCCATAGAAGATGCCCACCGCAGTGAGGTGGGAGCCACATGTGGAGAAGGCCTTCTTTCTGCCCTCAGCTGAGTGGATTTGCAGCACAGCAGCTACCACATGGGCATAGGACACGCTGATGAGGACCAAGGGCACCACAGCCATGAAGGCTGCTGCTACAAAGAGCAGCAGCTCATTGAGTTGGGTGCTGGAGCAGGAGAGCTGGAAGAGCTGTGGAAGGTCACAGTAGAAGTGATTGATCACACTGGGGCCACAGAAGTTGAGGGTAGTTAAGGCAATAGTGTGGGTCAGTGCGTTGGTGAAGACACAAGTCCAGGACACAGCCACCAACATCCCCTGGACTGTCTGACTCATGCGGGTGCTGTAGGTGAGGGGCCGGCAGATGGCCAGGAATCGGTCATAGGCCATGGCGGTCAGCAGGAAGCAGTCCATCCCAGCCAGAAGGTGGAAGAAGAAGAGCTGGGAGAGGCAGGCATCATAGGAAATGGTGCACTTGTGGGACAAGAGACGACCCAACATTGCAGGAACAGTGACAGTGATACATCCGACATCCAGCACTGATAGGTTCCCCAGGAAGAAGTACATGGGGGTGTGGAGTTTGGGCTCCACCAAGACAGCTGCCAGGATGCTGAGGTTGCCCCCAATTGTGACCAGATAGGCAAAGAGGAAGAGCACAAAGACAACAGACTGCATCTCTTCTGTTTGCACCAGGCCCAGCAGAATGAACTCAGCAACAGCGGTCCTGTTGGTCCCAGCTTCTGGCTCCATGAGTTCCTGTAAGGACGTGTCCCAGCAGGGGAGGTATCAGTTCACTCAGTTCACATTAACATTTTAAACCATTTATGTTCAAAGCCCCATGGTGAGTCCCCAGGCCGTCCCTCACTCATTGACCTCCTCCATCACCTCAATGCCTTCACCTTGCTCATGGTTGAGATGCCCAGTGTCACCACCACCTTGTCCCTCTCATCCTCTGCTAGCTGAAAAGCTCAGAATATGTGGGAAAATAAACTAAGATAAAAGATCTAATTTACAACATGAGGATTATAGTTAATAAAGTGTATTGTATTCAAGATTTTTGCTAAATGAGTAAATTATAGCCGCCTTTGCCAGAGAGGGGAAAATGGGTAACTGTGTGAGATGATGGATACGTGAATTTGTTTCACTATACTAATCATTTTACTGTCTACATGGATCTCATAACTTCATGTGGTGAACCTTAAATACACGCAATAAATTTTTTTTTTTTTTAAAAAAGGCAAGATACTTCCTTTTTGAATATAGTGAGATTGAGATAGAATTTTTGCCAGGCATGGTGGCTCATGCCTGTAATCCCAGCACTTTGGGAGGCCGAGACGGGCGGATCACAAGGTCAGGAGATTGAGACCATCCTGGCTAACACAGTGAAACTCCGTCTCTACTAAAAATACAAAAAAACTAGCCGGGCGAGGTGGCGGGCGCCTGTAGTCCCAGCTACTTGGGAGGCTGAGGCAGGAGAATGGCGGGAACCCAGGAGGTGGAGCTTGCAGTGAGCTGAGATCCGGCCACTGTACTCCAGCCTGGGCGACAGAGAGAGACTCCATCTCAAAAAAAAAAAGAAGAAAAAAGATAGAATTTTCCCATTTTTCTCTGAGGGATCAACCCAAACTAATAAGCAGATTACATTTTAATAATTTATTTTTAATCGATGAATAATAATTGTGTATATTTATGGGGTACAGTGTGATATTGATCGGTATATGCTTTGTAAAATGATTAAATCAAGGTAATTAACATAGCCATCCCATCACCAACTCATTTTTGTGGTGAGAATGTTAAAACATATCCTTTCGTACAAACTGGATGACGTTATGCTAAGTGAAATAAACTAGACACAGAAAGACAAATGCTTTACAATTTTACTTATATGTGGAATCTAAAAAATCAATGTCATAGAATCAGAGACCAATAAGCAGACTTCAAAATAGAAAAATTTATGAGATTTTCAGAGAAACTAGAAGACATTGAAACTGTTGTCTAGGTTTCAAGGCTTCTGGAAATAATGATGATCAAGTGAAGGTCTGGCAAGAAGCAGAGAGAAGAGGCCGGGCGTGGTGGCTCAAGCCTGTAATCCCAGCACTTTGGGAGGCCGAGACGGGCGGATCACAAGGTCAGGAGATGGAGACCATCCTGGCTAACATGGTGAAACCCCGTCTCTACTAAAAAATACAAAAAACTAGCCGGGCATGGTGGCGGCGCCTGTAGTCCCAGCTACTTGGGAGGCTGAGGCAGGAGAATGGCGGGAACCCAGGAGGTGGAGCTTGCAGTGAGCTGAGATCCGGCCACTGCACTCCAGCCTGGGCAACAGAGCGAGACTCCGTCTCAAAAAAAAAAAGAATCAGAGAGAAGATACCCATGATTCTGAATGTCAGAAAGATCAGCCGAGCACGTTTCTTCACAGAGGGGGACCACACTATGAAGTGTCAATTCAACACTCCTCATTCAATGAATTGCTAATGTTATTATTGTTACTTAAATCCTTACACTGGACTTTGACTAACAATTTAAAATTATTTTTTCTATGTACATTGTCTGCTACTCCCCTCTGAAACCAAAGTTGTAATCATAGCCTGTGGGTTAGTTCTTGCCAGGTGCAGTCAGGGTTCTACATTGCACAGACACTGGTCTTCTACTTGTCCTTCCTTCAGTCATGGTAGATTGACCAATGACTCTAAGGCTACGTCTTCAAATGAAGAAGGCATGTACTTGGAAAGCCATATTGAATTATGTCAAACTCTGGATCAAAAAAATAGCAGTGTCTTTATTGACCAGAGACAAGTAGGGCTAGAGTTTCCTTAAGAGCAATGTCATACCCTTGTATCTGAAATCAGAAGATGGGAAGGGGTTGGAGAGAGATAACTCCAACAGAAAGGGAAGCATGACGATTGCCTGAACTGGGGCAGTGAAATTCAGGGCCAGGAGCGGTTAAGAAAATCAGATCTCAGAAATCAGAGTGCTGTAGTAGTATGGTTGATGTGACTGCTTTGGGGGATGGTCACCAAAATATTCTTTAAAATCCCTTGTTTATAAAAGTGGAAATGGTTGGTGGCATGGTCTTCTTTGGTCTCAGTTTGGATCTGAAAAGCAGAGGAGGCAGGACTGAATGAGAAGCCACCCAGGCAAGCTGATTGTGTAATGTTTAAGTGAGACTGTAAAAGCAAGAAAACTGCCTTGTCAGCAGTTCCTCAGCTGTGTGTCAGCATTGACATTAGAGAAGTCAAGGCAAAAGGTACTCAAAATCAACCGTGAATCAAGACATGCACCTGTCCCCAACAAAAAACTCTCGTGAAAAACTGGCTCAGACACTTTTCAATTCATTTAGACTTCAAAAGGGAACCAGCACAAGATTTAGTTAAAGATACTCAAGAAAAAATGGGGAGGGGAGAGGAGAGAAACCAGGACAAACCAATGCTAGACTACAAACACTCAGAAGAAAAATGGTGGCATAGAGCTGCTGAATAACTGAAAGACAAAAAACAAGTGTGAACTTAAAACATGTTAAAAACCATTCACCACTATGTAACAAGAACACAAGACAGAGATACAAGACCCCAGGGAAGAGTTTCAAGATACCAGATGGAGATGAAATGTGAGATAACAGAACTTAGGCAAAAAATGAGCACGGAGGAACAAACAATTAGACAAAATAAAACTTTCCAGAAATAACCGAAGACTGGCTTCTAGAGACTGAAAAGTCAGATGTACCAGGAGACAGAAACAGGTCCCATTCTGAGATAGTCCTAGTAAGGTTATTGTAATTAAAAAATAATGAATCCTTTGGGTATATTGGCAGAAATCAAGTCACAATGGAATGAGAAGATGCTTATCTCAAATTTCTCTACAGAAGTATTCAAGACTAGAAAAAAATAGAAAACGTCCTATAAAATCTTCATAGAAGGAAAATGTAACCAGAGAATTTTCTATTGAGACAAACTGCAACTCAAATATACAAGCAACAGCCTAAAGTTTTTGGACACTCAAAAACTCAAGAATAGTTGTTTTATGAGCCCAGTAGAATAAATTTCTGGAGGATAAACTTTAACCAACAAAGAGAAGAGGAAGGAGAAAGAAAACAAAAGAACTGGTAATAAGCACTGAATATTTTTTACTGTAAGACATATATGGGGATTGCGGTTTCAGAATAAAATATAAATGTATGAACAATGACATTGTAGAAATGACACATCTAATAAAGTTAAGAAGAGAAGAAAGAACATGTAGAGATGGTGCAGGTATGCTGACTTCCTCAGTAGTTTTACAACTGTAAGTCAAAAGATATGTTCATGTTAATCAGCAAAAAATTGAAATGAAAAGGCTTAACCTACTCATGAATTTAGAATAAGAAAACAAAAGAAATTTAAGAAAATCTAAAGGAATTACATAGTACTAAATTAGAAAATAGACAAAAGAATGAATACAAATTGAGAACAGGTTATTTGTGGTAAAATGAAATTGACAAACCTTAACTAAGTGATCAATCATGAGTAAAAGCAAAAAAGTATAAGCATGCAAAATAATAATTGACAGGGAGAAAATAAACATAGCCCAATAGAAAACTGAAAACTTCTGGTGGAGAAGAGAATGGTGGTGATTGGAGGCTGGGAAGGGTGAGGGGAAGGAATGATAAAGAGAAATTGGTTAATGGGTACAAAAATACAGTTAAATAAAAGGAACAAGTTCTAGAATTTGATAGCAGAGTATAGAGACTGTAGTTAACAATAATTTATTGTATATTCCATAATAGCCAGAAGAATTGGAATGTTCCCAACACAAAGATAAATGTTTGAGGTGATAGATATCCCAGTTACCCTGATTTGATCCTTACACATTGCTTTATATATATATACACACATCACAGTGTACTCCCTAAATATGTACAACTATTATATTTCAATAAAAATTATAAAATTCTATTTTTCTGAACTCCAAGTTATAAAAGTTTTCTATGAAGTTATGATTTATTAAAATAATTCTAGAACAGTTAGAAAATCTAAATAGACTACTATAGAAAGAGTAGAGGAAGAGCTAGCTTCCAACCGCCACTAATAAAAAGCAACATCTCTATAAAATGCCACAGGGAAGTTTGTAATGACAATCAAACTATTCAAGAATATAAAAGAAGAAAGCTTTTTTTTTTTTTTTTTTTTTTTTTTTTTTGCGAAGTGTGTGTAACTAGCTCAAAAGAAAAGAAAAATTTTATATTAAAGAAAAGAAAATGTAAAATCATAAGAGATTAACAAATTTATTTCAGTAATTTTACCAAAATAATTAACCATAAGTATTTGGGATTTGGTCAGGAATGCCAGGTTAGTTCAAAATTCGGAAAGGTATTAATATGTTTTATGATATTAATAGATGTAAAGAGAGATTATGTGATCCTTTCCATAGATGCTAAAAAGGCATTTGATTATATTAAACATTCATTATGGTTTTTGAAATCCTATAATAACATAGGAATAGTTAGCTATTTACCTAACATGTTAAAATAAAACTAAGTAGGGCCGGGTGCGGTGGCTGACGTCTGTAATCCCAGCACTTTGGGAGGCTGAGGCAGGTGGATCACTTGAGGTCAGCAGTTTGACAACAGCCTGGCCAACATGGTGAAACCACATCTCTATCAAAAATACAAAAATTAGCCAGGCGTGATGGTGCGCGCCTATAATCCCAGCTACTTGGTATGAGGCTGAAGCATGAGAATTGCTTGAACCTAGGAGGTGGAGGTTGTAGAGAGCCAAGATTGTG